GAACTGACCACTCTGTTGATAAAGACTGTGCCCTTGTGCCTGGAGGACAGCCTGCAGGCAGCTCTCGCAGCAGCCCAGGTGAGGGCCAGAGGGGTTTGGCAGGGCTGCAGCGCAGCTGGAGAGAAGAGGTCGGAGCTTGGAGATATCTGGGGAGGGTGGCAGGGTTTGCTGTTGGGCCAGATCGAGATGTGAGGGGAGGAGAGGCACCAAGGGACACCCTGAGCACCAGGCGAGTGGTGGCGTGTTTACTGAAATGGGAGCTCGGGGGAGGAAGGGGCTTGAGAGGAATCAAGAGTTCAGTTCTGGACAAAGAACAGGTGGGACGAATAGAAAACAAATAGCCGGATGGTGACTTACCCCAGCCAGACCAATAATCCCCCAAATGAAAGGCAGAGATTGTCAGATGGGAGTTTTAAAAAGTAAGAGCCATGGGGCTGGCCTAGTGGCGTAGTGGTTCAGTTCATGCACTCTGCTTCGGTGGCCCGGGGCTTGTGGGTTCAGATCCCGAGTGCAGACCTACATCACTCATCAAGCCATGCTGCAGTGGTGTCCTATGTACAAAATAGAGGCAGATTGGCACAGATGTTAGCTCAGGGTCAATCTTCCTCACCAATAAATAAATAAATAAAAAGTAAGAGCTAACTCTAGGCTGCCGGTAAGAAGCCCACTTTAAATTGAAAGGCACCAATAGGCCAAAAGTAAAGGATGGAAAAAGATATACCACATATCACACTAACAATGATCAACAGAAAGCCGGAGGGCTCTGCTAAAATCAAAGTAAATTTTAGAGTAAATAATACTCCTAGGAATAAAGAGGGACATTTCAAAAGGATAACGGGGTCAATTCGTGGAAAGGATACTACACTGCTACATGTTTATACATCTAATAACAGAGCTTCAAAACACAGGAAGAAAAACGATTGAACTGCAAAGAGAAAGACAAATGCACAGTTATCATCTGAAAGTTCAACACCTCTCTTGATAATTGATAGAAAAAATAGGTAGAAAATCAGTAAGGAGAGAGAAGACTTGACCAACACTTTCAACCAACTCAGCCTAATTGGCTTTCCTAGAATGTTCCACTCGACAACGGCAGAATACACCTCCTAAGGTTAGGAGCCATCAGTGTACGGGTGTGTTGAATGTCATGGGCCAGGGGGAGGTCGCCTGGGGAGTGAGGGTTAATAGAACACGATAGTAGTCTGAGAGCTAAGCGTGGGTCACTCCACGCTTTAGGGGTTGCGAAGAGGAGAAGGATCCAGCAAAGGAGATGGAGAAGGAGCAGGTGAGGAGGAGGACCGGTGAAGGAAGCATTGAGAGGAGGGAGGGCCCCGCTGTGTCAGCCGCGTCCAACAGTCAAGCAGACGAGGACTGAGAACTGGTCACTGGATTTGACCACGTGGAGGCCTGTCCCCTGGGTCACTTGTCCAGGGTCACAGATCACTTGCCAGGAATGTGGGGGTGGCCTGGGAGCCCCTAATCAGTATGTTCAAGACAGAGTGAGAGGCAGTCCCCACGTACACTCCTTTTCAAGAAATTTTGCTTAAAGGGGCAACAAAGAGATGGAGAGGTGCTGGCAGGAAGGTGTGGCAGGATTTTCTTTTCTTTCTTTTTAAAGGTTGGGCACTGCTGGGAAGAATCCAGGAGAGAGAGAAGGAATATTTAGCAGGAGGGGAGAATTTCAGAGGGATGTCCGTAAGAGGGGATGGGTCCAGGGCACTTTGGGGGCGGCGGTCTAGGCTGGGGACACAGACGGTTCTTAAGTAAGAGAGGGGACTGGGTACCTCCAGAGAGGAGTGGCCAGGGCAGCATTCAGGGGTCTCAGAGGGTCTGCAGGCAGGAGAGTGACAAACTTCTCTAATCTTCCAGGTGGGCGGCGGGATGCAGGCTGGGCCAAGGGTTCGCATTCCCCTTATGGTCACTGCCATTACTAGCTCTGTGACCCTGGATCCAGATGACCTTGGGAAGGTGAGCCTGGTGGCGACAACAGAGAGGATGGGGCAGCGGGCTGGGGAGCCGGCCTCGCTACAGCAGGAAGTGCCTGTGTGTGCGTGTCCTCCTCGGCACCACCAGAGGGCGCCAGGAGACCGCTCTGTTCCTTAGGGGGCGCTTTCCCCTCCGGCCCTCCAACCGCACCCAGCTGAGCCCAAAGCCTTCAGGAGCTCGATTTGATTCCAGCCTCACCCTGAAGCTCACTTGAAAAGGAACCGAGACAGAAAGGCGTGGATCCTGGATCGAACTTCATCAGAAAGCGTCCCGTAGCCCCGTGAGCGATAGGTGGCGGTCCCAGCTCAGCCCTCCAGCGGCGCGCTGGCAGCGGAATGACGCGGCCGGGCTTAAAGCAGCCGGGAATGTCAAAATCCCAAATGTGCCCTGGCGACCGGCCGCTGCTGCCACCACCTCCACCTCCTTCCCTGGGTGTAGGGCATTGGTTTCGCAGCCGTTAACCAGGCGTTGGACCAGGCCCTGCTGGTGCTGGGAATGAGCCCGTGGAATGAATGAATGAACAGTGAAGCCCAACATGAAATTTCGAGGGAGAAGAGGAGGGATCCCAGGCGCAGAGCCCGAAGGTGCTGGGCCAGCCGGGCTTCCGCTGAGGGGCTCGGTGCTGCCCCAGGGTTGGGAGTGGGAAAGGGAGAGGGAGGATGAGGATGAGACTGAGCCCCCAACTCGGACTGAAGGAGCCACCCAGTGCAGTACTTTAAAGAGAGCGGTGGGAATGGACATGAGCTCCTCCACGTAGACAGTTCGTCACCAATTTCTGATAAAATACAAATGGCCTGGCAGCCACTATCATCCCCCATCACTTAGAACAAATTCTCTCCCCAGCACTCCCTGCCCACTGCCAAGTGAAAGCACATCCTCCTACGAACAGGAGAAAGCTGAGAGCCAAAGGGAGCAAGTGGAGGGAGAGGCCAGGTTAGGGTGGAGGGCCCCCCACCTCCACTCAGAGTCAGCTTGGGGCATGATGGGGGCCAGAGTCCTGCACCAGGAGGCCATCATCTTACAAGAAGATACGTCCCTTTTCAGCTCTGGGGTAGTCCAGCTAGCCCCTGGGATAGGGAATTTAGAGTGCTTAGCACCCTGTGTTCAGTAGGCGTTCAATCAATATCGACCATTCTTATTACTTCATATGAAACACAGCAAACATCTTTAGAAAACAGAAACTCAAGCACTTTTGGTCTACAAATGTAGGAATCCTTGTAATTTGACTGTTTGGGTTCCTCCAATTTCCATCCTCTTAGAAATAACAAACACTTAATTTTGAGGATATGAGACAGGGCTGCAAATCCAGAGCCTGCTGCTCTGTTGCCCTGGCTTGGGGCCAGGTTGCAGATGTTTGAGTCTGCATCCCCAGTGGCTGCACCCCCAGGGTGGTGCTGACTCACGGTGCAGGCTGAAAGCAGCCTCTCTCCATCTGCCAGGTCACTGCTGGGTTTCTGGGTTTCCGACAATGTGTGGTCAATTTAGAGTGCACTAACCTGCACCTAATCGATTTTCCTCCTTGTCCTGTTCCTACCCCAAAGGACGTGGGGGTGGGGACAGCCCTTAGCAGAGTGCCTAGCATTGAGTGAGCATTCAGTGTTAGCTGTTGGTGGCATTATTATTATTCATTACCATATGATCATAGCACAAAGTCATTGCAGTTGCTTTATATTTTTCCTGGAAGGTTATTTAGATCTGCATGGGCATATCACACAAGGGTGGACTGATGGAGGGCAGGAGGATGGGGTATCAATCTATCCCCTCTTTCAAGATCTCCTTAAAGACAAGAATCATTTGATTAGCCTCCATGTTCCAGCAGCCCCTGGGGCTTGGCACTGGGTAATTGAGCAAAGAGAAGCATATTGTATGTTTCGCAGTTTTCCAAAGATGATTTGGGGAAATCAAATCATCCCATCATCATTCCACCAATCAGGACTCAGCTCTCTGACTGTGCACTTCGGTATAAAAATAACACCTTTGGCTTCCCTTCCTCCACCCAATTTAAGAAGCAAGTTATGAGTTTGAACTTTCAAAGGCCAACTAATGCTCCTTAAAAGAAACTGTCATCTCTAAACCAAGAATGTGGGCAGCCTGGTTTCTGGTCCCTATGTCATCTCGATGTAAGGGAAGAGGTCCAGGCAGATGGGAGCTGGGGGGGGCCTTAGTGGGCAGGCATCTCAGCCCTGCCTTGTGCGGATCCAGACACTGAGGCCCACAGAATGACAGTTCCAGCCCCGGCTGCTGGTGGAGCATCATGGCTCTAGGTGGACGCTCTCACGTAGGTCTCTCTCTTGGTCCTCGCAGCATGCCCTGGGGAATTATTGTGTCATTAGCAACCAAGACCCACAACACCTTGGCTTTACCCCACCGTCCAGGGGTCATCTCCTGGCTTTACCTTACATTGCCCCTGCAGTGAGGCCCCTCTGCCTTTGTAGAGGCTAGTTCCTCTGCTGGGAATGCCCCCTCCCAACCTTCCTCTTTCCAGCCTATGTGACACGCCCCTCATCTCTCCTCCCCCTCTGAAAAATGTCCTCACTCTCCCTGTATATATATATAGGGAGATTATATATATATAGTATATTATATTATATATAATATAATATATATAAAAATATATAATATATAATTATATAATATATATATAATTGTTATATATATATATATAATAACACATATGTCATGACTATGTATGTTAGCTCTCGTCATTACCACCATTCATTCATCCGACATTTATCGAGTGTCTCAGGCTCTGTGCTGTTCGCCGCGGCCACAGTGAGCAAGACAGATTTGGTCCCTGACCAACCGCCACAGATAAGCGTGCCAAGTCAAGTTCTCATCTTTAGGGCTTGAGATGCGGAGACAGCGGGGCCCCGCCCAGCGTTGGGACTACAAGTCCCAGAAGACTTGCGGCGGCGGCGCCGGGAGCCCGCCCGCGCGCATGCGCAACGTCGTGTCGCCTGGGCGGCGAGCGGGCGCCACTGGCTGCGGCGGGCAGGGTGGGGCGGGGCCGGCAGGCGGCGGCCTTTAGGGCGGAGCTGGTGTGCGCTCTCCTCAGTCGGCCGCGGGCTAGCTGACCGTCCGGCTTCCGCCGCCGGTTTCTGTGGTTCGCCCGTCTGCCCGCTAGCTCTCGCGCCGAGTCGCGGCCGCTCTCTCAGCGCTGCCCGCGGTCCCGAGCGCGGCGCCATGTCGGAGCCCGGGGGCGGCGGCGGCGAGGACGGCTCGGCCGGCCTGGAGGTGTCGGCCGTGCAGAATGTGGCCGACGTGTCGGTGCTGCAGAAGCACCTGCGCAAGCTGGTGCCACTGCTGCTGGAGGATGGCGGCGAGGCGCCGGCCGCGCTGGAGGCGGCGCTGGAGGAGAAGAGCGCCCTGGAGCAGATGCGCAAGTTCCTGTCCGACCCGCAGGTCCACACGGTCCTGGTGGAGCGCTCCACGCTCAAAGGTGCGGGCGGGGGCCGGCGCCGGGGCCGGGGGCCGAGCCGGGGGTCTCGGGCTGCGGACGCCCCGCGGGGGGGCGGCGCCGCGCGCGGCTCGCTCCCGCCACACCCTCGCCAGGCCGGAGCCCCGGGGGTGCCCCCTTCCGGGCCGCGGGAAGGATGAGGGTGCCCCGTCGTGCCGTCACCCGATACAATGGGATCGCTTTGTCTGCTCGGGCCTCAAGATGGCCGAGTTGGGTGGAGACAGCGTCTCCCCGGCTGAGCGCCGGCGGAGGCCGCATCCCGGCCTCCAATGTCACATGAGCTTTACGGTTTCGATTTGTGTCCCGGCCAGGCCAGCCTCGGGAGGGATGTGTCAGGGGCCGACCCGCGGGGCCGGGGGCAGCCTGGATTCTGGCCCTTCCGCCCTCTGGGTGTAGGGGGAGGTCCTGGCGGGTGGAGCTGGGGAAGCCCTGGCCGGCGGCCATCCGGCCCCTGCCTGGTGCCGACCCAGATGCCGAGGCCCAGGAATGACAGGGCAGCCCCGGCTGCGAGCGGAGCATCGCTGTTCAGGGGGGATGCTCGCACGCAGGTCGTCCTCTAGGCCCTCACTGCGCCCATGCTGAATGGGTGTATCTCCCCATTCCACAAGCAGGAAACAGGCTCAGGTGAAGTGACTGGCCCAAGGTCACCAGCTAATCCTACTCCCTAGACTAGACTCCACATCTCGGTTTCCAGTGCACTGCCTGTTTTACTAGTCATACGTTATATTTGTGTAATGCTTAAATGATCCTGATGGTGACCCTGTGATACTGGAGTCTATTTTACAGATTTAAAAAAGAGAGACTGAGGTTAGGCACCTAGTGGGGGGAGAGGGCAAAAGATTTGCGTATCCCAGCAGTCTCCTCCAATAGTGACCTCTCAAGAGCAAGGCTAGATTCATCTTGCGAGTCAGCCTTGCCTTCAGGGTTCTCTAAGAGCACTTGGAAGTCGTGGTGAGTATGTTTGACAGAGCACTATGGGCGTGGCACCGTCCACCTGGGAACCCAGGGATGATGTCCAAGCAGATTTTGGTGTTAGTACCAAGGGATTGGACATTGTCTGAAAATGTTTGCCAACGAGCTTCTTATAACCTCAAAAAGCTATATGGTTCTGTCAGTAAGAGAACCTATACTATCTCCCTCACCCCCCAACACACACTTGATGTTTCTTTCTGATAGTTTGTTTCTTTCAAACGCTGTTCTTACTCAGGAGATGCTTCATTGTAGCTTCTGTTTCTCCTGGAGGGTGGGAGGGTCAAGAGTGTGAAAGAATATTTTTCTTAGATCCACAGGGAATGTTCAAAGCAAATAAGCAGGTCGGGCATATTTAGAGTATTAATGTTGTTTAGGATTTTCTGTCATGTTTGTGGTTATGTTTTCCCACATGGAAACCGCTAGTGTTTAAAAAAAATTTCACTCATCTACTCCTTTTTAAAAAGAGTATATAGTCATGTAGAAAATTTGAAAGTATACAGATAAAATAAAAATTGCCTGGACTCTTTCGACCCGGATATGACCACTTTAGCATTTTGGTGTCTGTCTTTCTGGTCATTTTTCAATGAATGTACATTATTTTATTAAAATATATTTTAATCTGCATTAAGTTATTGTGTTTTGAGTAGTCTGACCTTGGCTAATTCTTGATCATATTGTACAGTTTATGTGTTGAAATTGGTGATTTCTACCTTGGGTCTCAATTTCTTTTTGTGGAAAAAATTTGTAAGTTTTGTTCTTTGCTTCTAGAGTGCTCATCAGTAATTCTTCTTGCAAACATCTTAGAATTGAACTTTGCTAAAATTATTGAGGGGAAACCCTATTTCTTCATCTCTCTGTTTTCTTGATGGGTGCAGTTTCCTCTCTTAGCAAAGCGAATATCCAGGCATCCAAATCTTGGCTCCATAATGACTTGCACTTTTGAACGTTGACTAAGGAATGAGACTGCCTAAAATTGAAATCCTACCTCCTTCCTGTATTTATAAAAATCCCTGAAGTATTTCTAGTGATTCAACCTGTCTGTAATTTATCTTGCACTTACAGAAATCCAAGGAAGACTTTATGGTCCCATCAGTCTTATTAGCATCCTGGCTGCACTAGCATAATTTAGGTATAAGTGCAGACTCGGGTCATTGGTAGGAGGGCTTTCTTCTGGGTGGTTTTTATGAGTTAGCATTGGCATTTGTACATTTAATCAAATATGAGCATCCAGTAGTTAATTACAGTGAAAAGTGGGCTTCCATTACAATATGGGAATCAAATCTGAATTGTTTAAACTGAATAAAGACCACCAGCAACAGTGAGGTTGTATAACTTATTTAATGAACAGAGGAAATTGCTTTTAGTTTATCCTCACCCCCACCCCCTTTTATGGAAAGAATTTTCCAAACACTTGTATTGAATATAGAAGCATTTTTTATATGAAGATCTGTCTCTCTCTCTCTACATATATTTTTTTAAGTGCCCCAGCTTGCTGTAAACGTTTTTTATTAAAGTACAGCATTCCTTAAAGTGTAGAATAAGTAAAATTTAACTGTTTCTTTTGATAGTGAAGAATTGGAGAGTTGATGGGAAAGAGAATGTTAAATTATAGCTCCTCATTTTAAAAAGAGAAATCTTTCTGGGATTCCTGGCCTGTAGAAAATTGTTTTCTTTATAGTGTACTTCTAAAATTATGACCAGCTAAAATTATGATCTATCTCACTACTTAGTAGGCATTTTACAGTGTTAATGACGTTTCTGTAGCACTTTTTACCTGAAGTGCATTTTTGGTTGTGCTTTAACCCGTGAGAGGTTGGGTGGCAGAGATGAGAACAGGTAACAGATGGCTCTGTTTGTGGCTGGTGGAGCTGGCGGTTCCAGGCCTTGTCTGCACTCCAGCTCGTTGGTGACCAGGCTGGGAACAGGTGCTGGGAGGTTGGTTTTTGTTTTTTTACACTCAGGTCTCTTAGCCCTGAGTTTTGTCTTTGAGACAAAATAGTGGCTCCCTTTAGTCAGTACTTATCCTAAGCTTAGAATTCTAGTTTCCCTGAGATATGTAATTTAGGGGATTTCACCTCCTCTTAATTAGTGCAGAGATGGCAAGGGACTGGAATGTGAAAAAAAGCTAGCACTTTTATGGTACTCAACTTCCTAACAGTGTGGAAAGTTTTATGCGGGATGTTTTTGTGGATTTTTAAAAATTATTTTTCTGAGGACTTAATTTCCCTAAAGAATGAAGAAATGTAATAGATTGATGACTAAAAAGTATTCATTTATGGCCTTTGCTTAGCCCCAAAAATGGTTAATAAACTAACAGGAAGAATTTTCTATGACACCTTACTGTCTGGGAGCACTAGGCCATCCAACTGGGTTCTCACTGTTCTGTGCTGCCACGCTGCGGCGAGGCCTCCACCCTTCATAGGACAGAGCAGTCTGCAGCAAGATAAGTTTGAATGTGTGGTATCACATAGCAAATGAAATTTATGTACGGCAAAAGGAAAACAGTCATCACTTCTTTTTAAAAAGTAAAGATGGAAATTCTTTATCAGTAGAGTATCAGGCTGGGAGCATCCAGAGACATTTAGCCCAGCTTCCTCTGTCATGAGTGAGGAAACCGAAACCCTAGGATTTTAAGACCCAACTGGGAAAAAGATGTTTTAAGGAGGATCCTGAAACCTAAAAACTAATTTCTCTGTTCAGTTCCTTGGTATCCATTAAAATAGGAGTGTTTGTTTTCATTTATTTTGTATCAGTTATTTTTTTGAGTTAGTATTAGCCTTAAAAAGTATTGTCTTAAGTCCCTTAGGCATTAATAACTTATTTCAGTTCCTTATTTCTCTTCTTTTTCTGGAAATACCAAAATGAACCCCAGTTTTACATTATGTACAAGTACTATGGGGAGTTTAACCCTCCTTTCATATTTCTTATGATGTTATGAATCAAAGTCGTTAGGTTGAAGAGAAAACTCAGACTTTGTCACCACACTCTTAGCCTTGTGCCAGGGCAGGAGTGGCTGTGGCAACGAAGTCACAGCCTCTTAGAAGAAGGACGAAAGGGTGGGTGAATGTCGAGGTGACAGGAGAAAGTGCCAGAGATGGGAAAGGGGAAAAACTAAACCACATGAGAAAAAGAGGGGAGGACATGACACGTGTGATAGTGACCGACCAGAATAATGTGCTTTTAGATGTTTTGGATTTTAAAAGATAGTGAGAACCAGGATCATGTAACAAGTAATTTGGTAGTCTGTGGGGGCCAAGGAAAATGGCTGGCTTTGTTTGCTAGATAGAGAAGCGGCTTGTCCTGTGGCTGGGAGATAGTCGGAGGGAAGAGTGTGAGGAAGGGACCAAGGGGACAGGGGCCTGGCACCCTTGCCTGCTCCTTTACCAGTTTGCTTCATCCGTTTTCCAATTGCACATTCACCAGACTTTGTGAAAACGTCCCTGGTCTAGCTAGGAGACGTAGTATTGAATGTGCATCTTTTTATATTTCATTAAACGAGGCATAATGCTCACCTAATTCACAATGTAATGACACGAATCACTTATAGTTTGACTTATGTTAAACTAGTCTTTCAATAGAAGTATACACAGATTAATGCTAAATGACATTTTGAACATCTCTAGAAATTGGAGAAACTCTCAGAAGCTAACTGAAGAAATGTCCACAGTCACAGGTCACTGTCATGTATATCGGTATGGCTTGCAGCAAAGGAACTCATGAGGCAGACCCAACACTTTCTGTACTGGTCCTTTGATTCTTTGAATGTATTAACAGGCGATATAGTATTGGTCCATTATGTATTAACCAATAGCTTCATCAGCATTAGGAAACTGATTTAAACTTTACTGAAAGTGATATTACCTGATAAAACATGCAGGTTGTGTTGGTATGTAAACTTCTAAGTCTAGCAGGATTAATAGCCTTTTTGTTATTAAGAAGTAACTATCAAGTGTCTGTCTTCCTCTGAACAGTTTTTTTATAAAAACGTTTCTGCAGAGGTAAAATGTCAAATTATTGTTATTTAGAAGATGTAATAATTTACAGAGAGGCAAAAAGCTGAAATTACTTGATGGCAGTTTATATAAAACAGTGGCATGGGTTCTTTACAATGGGAGTCAGACATAATCAGACTTCATTTGATCTCTATATTTATGGGGAAGAAGCATTTAAAAACTAATCTAAAATGTATTCTCTGACTGATTAGTAATGACTTCCATAAATTATTGTCATCAAGAGAAGTTAGAATGTTACAAAGCAGTAGAGGATACCCATGTGCAGTCCTCGTCTGAGGATTATGTCATTGGGTGTGCCTTCCTGAGCCGGAGCAGCGTTGTGCTGCATTGCAGTATTCCTAGTGTGGGGCTGGGCGTTCTTGGCAGAGCTGTGACTCATCGCATGGCAAGCTGTGCAGTTCCTTTAACCCTGTCTGCATTAGGAAGTTCAGGCAACGTGGTTAGATGCTGCGTCCAGGCGGCATGTTCTGTACGTGATTTTATTTGTATAGATGATGAATCTTTATCTGGGAGAAAGAAATGATACAAAGTTAACCTATGGGGTTTTTAGTTATGTCAATAATTTCCTTTGGTGATTGTGGAATGTAACTTTTATTTTCTATATATTGTTTGGATGTTATTTTGATGATGTATATTTTATATAAATCATGGAACAGCATGATGGAAAGTTCATAAAATTGAGGGAGAAGATATTTCATAATCCCGCTCCCTTGACAACTGTTTCAGTTTGGGGGTGTTTCCTTATGCTCTGTCCATGTGCTTGCATTTTACAGGTTGCGATCATATACGTGGTTGGTTTCAGGCAGTATGATTATCTTATCCTGTGGTATATCCACATTTCAGTAGTTAGAAAACTTGATTGATTTGTTTAGTTGGTTGTTTTTTTTTTTTTTTAAGTAGTCATTTTTCAAAATAGCTAGGAAATACCTGGCATAGTAGAATGTTCTACCACCGCCTCCCTTTCCTAAAATTATACTAAAAAGAGTATTTTGAGTTATTGTCCTCTTGATAGATAGACTAATATTTTATATTCTTTTAGTGTGAATTTTGTATTTGTCTCATCTTTTTTTTTTTTTTTTT